GCAGAAGGGTCTGGGTAAGGCCTTCCCAAACAGCAGCAGACTAGAATGGCAAGGACATTGCAAATGCATGGCAATCCTTGATAGTGTCAACCACAGATAGGGATCTGGAGACTTGAAGAATCCCAAGCCACACTCTGCCACTGAAGGACTGGGGCCCACAGGTTGGGATGGGAACTGTGGAGTGTGCAAAAGTGGAGTGTGCTCTGGGGAGGGGAAGCAGCTCAGTCCAGGCACTAGTGGTAATGTCCATCTGCTGGAAAGGTCACCCACAGGTGGTAGGCTTACCTGGGCCTCACTGTCACCCCATGGTCTCGAAACCCCTTTATTCTCCTATCCTGGGAGCCACGTGCCTAGTCTTAGCCATATTGAGCCTGAGCTGTCATCTCTAGGTAGAGACATCTGGTCGGCCAATGGAGGTGCTAGACTAGAGCTTGGGGGTGGGGAGGAGGTTAAGGCTGGAGATAGACTCAGAGTACCCCACACTGGGCATCTCACTGGCTCTCATGCTGGTTTTATTTATTTATTTTTGTTTTTTGGTTTATTGTCTCATGATGATTTAGTGAATGTTTATGTATTTGAGTCTTTAAGGTGTCTGTGAACGTGCATTGTAAATGCATTGGCAGGGAAACTTCAGGGTTTAATCTCCTGACCTGGGTTGCCATAGTACCAAAACACATTTGAGAAGTAGGTTTGGGGGCAGCACAAAACAGATAGCAGGTGAGGAGTCAAACCTTACAGCTAGAGAGACAACAAAGATAGAGTGGGTGTAAATTCTGTTTCAGCAAGATGGTGTCCAAGCTATTTCAACAGCCTCCACCTGGGACCCTGCTAAGGCCGAGGGGCACCACCCTGTATTTATCCCATTTGCCACTCCTAAAGTACACTGGGCTTTGCTGCTTCTCACATTTGAGTGGCCCAGAGAAGAGCAGAGGGGATGGGGAGGAGACGAAAAGAGAAGCCATCCTCTTCTGCCGGGCACTGCGGGGAGGGCCAAGGTGAGTTCTAGCTAGGGCTCCAGCAGCACCCTGCAGGCAGAGAGCAGCTGCTGCTGCAGCCACTTCTTGGGTTCCTAGCACATAGGGATTAACTGGGCATAGCACGGGAGGTTGTGATTCTGAGGCCTAACACCTGATCCCAGAAGCGGATGGGTTCCTGGGCACACGTGGAAAGGGCGGAGCTGTGGATTTCATCAGCAACATTGTGAAATCTGCATACCAAGCAGGCACTCCGTCTGGGAGTGAGTGCCCTGTGAAATGAGATGAGCTGTTCAATCCTGAGCCATGGGCAAATCTTCTAGGGACCCATCCGGCTCAAAATATAGCCTGGGGACAGAGGTGGCAGAGCTCACTGGGTCGGGGTGAGCCGGTGGACTCTGCCTTTAGAGACAGGCCTGCCCAGCTGCTAGACAGGCAGGTAGATAGATGGAAAGGAAAGGTGGGCTTTCCTGGGCACAGGGTCACCCAGGCCAGAGAAGACCCACGTACAGTCCAACCAGGGTCTAGTAGATTATGAGAAGGATTTCTTGGGAGCTTGAGGGTGGATTGGGAGCGACTGAACAAAGAACTACTACTTGTGCCTCTTTTCCTAAGTTTCATGGCAGGGGAGTGGGGTACAGCTTCGGGTGTACGGGGGGCCGTGTACTGGTTGCCTGCATACTCAGGGAGCAACAGTCCAGGTGCACAGGTGACTTAGAGCCTCTCACGTGACCAGCCCACCTCATCTCCACGTTCCTCTTGGGTACCAACTGAAACGTCATTTCCATGACTCCCCGTTTGCTTAGGTAGCCCCACTGTGACTGCTCAACATACGCTATTCTTTTCAGTACTGATGGTTTTTTTGCTGTCAGGCCTTCAGCAGGACATCGTGACAGTAAAGAAACTAGACGTGGATGACACTGGGAAAGCACTGGGTTAAATTTGGTTTTAGGCATCAAGGAGTTTTTTGGTGTTGGTTTTGGTTTTGGTTTGATTTGGTTTTCTTGGAATAACCATCTGTGGTTTTCTTATTTTCTTCACCTCTGCCTCTTGCACCTAAATTCTCCGAGATTCGCCCCTTGCCGCTGTGCATTCTGTCCCCCACCCCCACCCCTTGGCTCTGATGGAGAGCCATCTGGGCAGGCCACTGCGGTGGGCGTGGCTGGGGACAGGAGGAAGAGGACCTTCCTTGAGTTTCTGAATCTTCTTTCCTTGGCGTTTGTCTTCAGGGGCCTGACCCTTCTAAAGACAACAACAACAAGGAAACACCCTGGACTTGTGTATTTAGACACACGTTTTTCTCGCGTTCGGAGCAGAGCCGTTGCCTGGCTGCTGCCTTCCCTAGCTGCTGCCTTCCCTAGCCGCTGCCTTCCCTGGCTGCTGCCTTCCCTAGCTGCTGCCTTCCCTAGCTGCTGCCTTCCCTAGCCGCAGTGGCAGGAGGCATGGCGCTTTTAAGCAGGATGAATTGCTGTCTAGTGGCTGCTCTTCTGCACCCAGGACCATCAATCTTGTCTTGAATGCGGGGCTGCTGGGCTGCCTGCTCAGGCTCATCTTTTCTGGGGCAGACTTATTTACGGAGCCACAGCAAAGGTAATCTCACTCCCCCAGCACTGTGGCTTGGGCCTCTCGCAGCCACTCTTAAAAATAGCCCAAGACAAGGAGAGCCAGGGTCCGGTTACCTCCTGCACGCAGGATCTGATCTCACCTCGCCTCCTGCGTCTCCTGCGTCTGGCAGCTCAGCCCTTCTGGGTGCTGGGTCCCTCAGCCTCTCCCGCTCAGAGCCAGCTGTAGTTCCCCTTCCAAGAGGTGGGGAAAGGCACGTGGAGTGTGGAGTCCTTCCCGGCTACCTTTGCCCATCCAGTTGTGAAGGGAATGTGAGCCCTGGAAGTAGCCTGTCCCACTGTAGACAATAACAGGTTGTTCCAAAGGGGCCAGGGTGTTCTTGGGTACAGGCCTGGCATCACGGGGCATGTTGTGTAGTGGTAAGGACTGGCTTTTCCACCTTCTACCTTCCCTCTCCTGAGTAGCAAACACCTTTGCCAAGTCCTAGAAGCTGGGGCATGTCCCCTGTCCCTGTGTGCCATGTTCTTTTCCCACTGGCTTCCTAAAATCAGCCTGGTGGAGGGGGATGAACAGGCTGCAGCTTGGCCTTTGGTCCCAGCCACAGCAGTAATTTCCTAGATGACCTTGGGGAGGTCTCATCCTATAATAGGCTTGGTTTTCTCCCTTACGCAATTAGGGTGGATAATTCTGGCTCCTGTCTTACCTCAAAGGGATGTGGTGGGATTGATTAGTCAGACTGGGGAGGGGGGGGGAGTCTGAAGTGATTCTGTTTGGAAAACAAGGGCCCTGGCACCGCAGTTATGCTTGGATTGGTGAGCTCACTTCATTTCTTCTTCAGGTGTGTGCCTGCTCGGGTGGGTGAGTGTGTGTGCTGGAGTGTGTGTTTGTGTAGTGTGAGTGCACACACTTGTGGAGGGAGTGGTTTACCTGATAGCTCACTAGTTGTGAACATGTGTCATTTGTCTGCCACACAGCCTGCCCGCCCCACCCCTCCCACTTTTGCTCTCTTGGACATGAAGGCTCTGGGCTCCCTGTCCTCTCTTACAGACTTGATCTTGGGTCCCTTAAGCTCCCTGGAGAGATGACTCATTGGCAGGTACTGGTGAGGAAATTAAGGCTAAAGGAAAGCTAGTCATTTTACTAAGGCCCAAGACTTTCAGGACCCAGCCTGGTGCCTCTAGCTTCCTGCCCCACTTCCTCCCCACCCTCACCCTCGCCCTCTCCTTGCATGGCACGGTCTCTCACTTTGCCGTGTTCTCTCTCACTTTCGGAACTATGCTTCTGCTCTTGCTCCCCTCTGTGGGGCCTTGCCCCTTTCCATGTACCCCTTCACAGGATGCCTCCGAGGTTTCTTTAGGAATCGGCTTGAACTTCCCTTCCCAACACCCAGTCCTACCACGAGTTCCAGACCTTTCCTGTTCTTTCCCAAGGGTGCACACACCACACTTACTGTAACTGCTTATTTAATCATCTCTCTCGCTGCCTGAATATAAGCTCCGTGAGGACAGGGTCCTTTCTGTCTTACTCATAGCTGTCTAGCGCAGTGCCTGCCATCTTTTTGGGGGTTGGTGCATATTTGAATTAATTATGAATGAATGAACAAGTGGGCAGACATGATAAGTGACAGGTGAGTGAGGCCCCAATGCTCCTGTGTTCCATGTTGATTACATAGGTGAACACACACAGCTCCATTGTCCATGGGATCCCCTCACCACCCCCCAACCGTGATGCTGGTGGCTTTGATGGGACAGCAGGCTCGCCTGGACCCCTTGCTCTGTCCTGGGATTCAACAGGAAACCTCCTCTGAGCACCTGGTCGCACATCAGAGATGGCAAAACCAAAAGCTCAGCTTTCTGACTATTTGCAGCTGGGAAGACCTCAGAAAGCTCTTGGGCAGCCTCTGGGAGGAGTGTACTTTCCCGCACAGCTACCGGTGCTGCTGACACCAATGGCATCTTGAAGCTCACATTCATCTCTCTTACCACTGATTCGTGTTTGAGTCAGATTCAGCCAGCTTCCAGCTTCTCCCCTCTTCTCCTCTTCCCCCAGTCCACCTGGTGGGGGTGGGGGTGGAGCTGATCTTCCCAGCTCAACCCACCAGCCTCAGGCTCCCAGAAGAGCCGCCCTCCCCTGCTCCCGCAGCAGCAGTAGCGGGTTTGGAGGAAGAGGGCTTGCTACGACTGATGTCTCCACCTGCTGGCCGTCCTGACCCTTGCTGCATCAGCTCTCTGTCCCTGCCGCCACCGCCGCTGTTACTGTTCCTGCTGCTGCTGCTGCTGCAATATTTTATTATCCAAGGAGGCAGAGACCCTGGGTCGGAAGCATGGCCAGGCAGATGGCACTCTGTGCGGCTCCCACAAGGATCTACTCCTGTAGGATGCTCCAAATAAGTTTCCCCTGAGAAAAAGTCCAAGGGGGTGGGAGCTAACCCTCTGACTCTGTTGCTGTCCCCCCCCCCACCAGGGACCCTTCCATGAAGACTGAGGCAGGCATAGCTGCTAAGAGCCTGCTGACATGACATCAGCCACGGAGATTGAAAACGTGGGCAACCAGCCACCGTACAGCCGGATCAATGCCCGCTGGGATGTCCCGGACGATGAGCTGGATAATGACAACAGCTCAGCCAGGCTCTTTGAGAGGTCCCGGATCAAGGCCTTGGCAGGTACCGTTGGGGGCCATGTGGGTTAGAGAAGCTGTTCTCACAGTCCCAAGGCTCACTCCCCTCCTTGCCTGTGGCGAACCCTCTGTGTGCATTGTCGTGAGCCCTGGCAGCACAGTGACGGAGATGTGGTTGTGTGGCTAGAGAGGCGGGGCCCCCTCGGGAGAGAGCGCCGGCTCAGGCAGCCTCTGCTCCCGCGTGTCCTCCACTCCCTCCTAGGTGGGAAGTGGTGCCAGGTGGGCCCTGCCCTCCGCCTCTGTCCTGCATGATCTGAGGACAAAGTCAGAAGTAAGGGAAAGTTTGGGCGAAGAAGTGTCTGGGGGAAGGACAGCGGGCAGAGGTGCATGAGGCCTTCGTATGCATCTCCGTGTCTTGCCCGGACCTGGATAGAGGTGTTGTCATCATCCTCTTTGTGGTCCCACGAGGAAAGAGTGGTCTGATAGAAAAAATTGAGAACACTGCTTCAGAAAGGAGGATTTTTCTGGACTAAACCTCTTATCCTTAAATGAGAATTAGATTTTTACTTACCAGGTTTATAATAGAGGTCTCTGTGTGTGTGTGTGTGTGTGTCTGTGCGTGTGTTCTGGGGGTTGGGAGAGGGATGGAGAGAGAGCTTAAATCTCTGGTAGAAATGCCTTCTCCTCTCCTGCTGGCTGAGATCTGATTCTTGGGGCTTTTCTTTTCCCCACCAACCCCTGTGACCGCTGCCTTCCTGGAGCCTGGCCCAGGGGAGCTATATGTTGACCCTAAGTCCTTGGCCAGTGAGAGAGTTGGAGTTCTATGGGGCGGTGTAGGGTGTGGCCAGAGGTCGGGGTGGATCACTGCACCTGCTCTACCAGTGAGTGGCCCAAATCAGCCTTGTTCCCCCTTCGTTGCTTGTTCCCATCTTTTGCCATGTACAAAGGGCACAGGCTTTTCAACAAGCACCTTCTAGAGCGACTCTCCCCCGGCCCCCATTGCTCATGGCTTTATCTGAATTTCATGACAGTACCCTTCCAAATTTCCTCCCTCCACTCTGCTCCCACATGCCTTGGTCTATAGCTGACCTTGAAGCATAAGCAGGGCCCTAGGCCCCTGTGAGACCACAGTGACCTTTCACCTCAGGAGTGTCTGGGTGACCCATTCCCATAAAAGGAATGGGGTGTCTCATTTCCTTTCATGGTGGGGAATCCATTTAGGCTTCAGCTATCACCTTTTGTGTCCTTGTTCTTGGCAGGAAACTCCCTTTCTTTTTCCTTCATTGCCTCCTCATGACCCCCTATGACACAAGATCCTTCCCTGGTTTTCCTTGGGGACATATAATAGCACCAATCCCTTGCATTTGTTTATGTAATTTTAACCCCTTTAAATAACCAAACTCGGATCTCTTGCCTTTGCCAGTCTGGTCGTCCCTCGTGCTGGCGGGTTCTGGCTATAGCGACCCTGGCAATGTGGCCAGAGGGAGAAGGGCACCTATTCCATGAGGTTTGTCCAAGGACAGTTTGAGGAGTGAGGCTGCCTTTTGTGCAAGGATCATTTGATTTGTTTCACAGATACCCTGTTTTTTTTGTGGGTTTTTTTTTAAAGAACCAAGGTAAATTCCATTTTAACAACGATCCATTGAACTCCTACTCTGTGTAGAGCTAAACCCTTGACCAGACACAAAAGTGTGTGGGGGGGAGAAGCACAGAGATAAATACTGCATAGTGTCTGCCTCTAAGGAGTTTATGATCTATTAGGGAAAATGAACGCTGTTCATAATTAATTAGCACGGGTAGAATTAGAGAGGAACTGTAAAAAGGCACATAATTAAATAGCAATAAGAGAGCAAAGGAAGAGATGAAGGGAGAGCCAAGGACTTGTTTGTTGAGGAGGTGGCCTGGAGCTGGGGACTGATCGAAGGGTGCGTGTGACTGACAGGCAAACGGGCTAAGAGTTTGTCCACTTGGCCTGAAAGTGTTAGCCAGGTCTGATGAGCAGCCTGGGAAACTAGCAAAATGGGTTAATCAGGTTCATCAGGAAAGAGTCTTTTCCAGCTTTGCCTGTTCCTCACCAAGAGCGTGCTTCTTAGTGCTTCTTGTCTACCAAAGAATCTGAATGCCCCGCCAGGGAGAGAGGAACCACAGAGTGGAGAGTTGCAGGAGCCTTAATGGTTCAAACATCCAGCTAACAAGCAAACCTGGAAGTTTGGGCTCCATTCAGGATGTGTGAAAACAAAGAAAAACCCAAACAGTTTACCATCTTTTCCTCTCCTGAGAGTTCAGTCTGAGTGACCTATGGGAGAAACTAAAGCTTTGAGAAGGAAGGTCCAAAGTAGAGTGGCCCGCTGGACCCATTCTGATAGGCAGGTGGAGCAGAGAAAGGAAGTGTCAGCCTCCCCAGGTTTGGCTTCCTGACATTTTTCTCTGCAGCACCATCTCTGGAGCTGCCCGGGCAGTCTGGGCAGGGGTCAGTCTTTCCAAAGAGGCTTAGGAAGCAGAAGCTACCTCTGGTTTCCATCGTCCTGGCATGCTCCATGGCCACCCCCGACTCCTGTGTACTAGGGCAAGGAAGGCATTGGGTTCTGTGTTTTCTTATAAGGTGGCAGTGATCTGCTTTGTAGGTTTGTGTGGCAAGGTCAGAAAGATAGGCCTGGAATTTTCTGTCTAAAGTTGAAGCTCCTGGGGTGAAAAGGAAAAGGTCACCAGACCCAGATCCAAGTCCTGATTCCATCTCTAATGCTGCTCTGAAGAGGACGGCTGAATCAGTTTCCTGTTCTATCAGGTGGAGACAGTAGTACCTTCCCAAGGTTGTCAGTGTCAAGTAAGATAAAGTTTATGCACACTTTTTATCAATAATAAAATACTAAGCACCCTGGCTAGTGTAGCTCAGTGGACTGAGCACGGGCTGCAAATCAAAGGGCTACTAGTTCGGTTCCTCGTCAGGGCACATGCCTGGGTTGCAGGCCAGGTCCCCAATGAGGGGCCACATGAGAGGCAACCACACGTTAATGTTTCTCTCCCACTCTTTCTCCCTCCCTTCCCCTCTCTCTAAAAATGGGTGAATAAAATCTTTAAAAGAATAAAAAAATATTTTAAAAATACTAAGCAAATGTCTGTATTTATAGGAAATCTTCTTAGTATCTCTCTGTCCCTTCTACCAGCTTCAGACATTCAAGATCATCAGCTCATTCCATGGCCCAGTTACCTTGGCCTGTTTCAGGGTCAATTTCTTCCTCCTTCACCTTCAACTTTTTCTCAGAATGCCTGGGTTGGAAAAGAAGAACCAGGGACTGGGGAAATTAGGCCGATGCTTGTGTTCGGAGCTCTTGGCTTGGTCCCGAGAGACCCAGTGCCCGTGGGAGGAAGCCCCCTGCTGTGAGGATTTTCTCCTGGAGGCCATCCGGTCAAGACCCCAGCCCTGTCTCTTCCATGGCCCAGGCATCCAAAGGATCCGCCTTGGGCCTGGTGTGGCAGCTCCTCCGAGTCCTCCTCTCCTTAGTGACCTGCAGTTCAAAGACTTCCACTTGGTTAACTGGATTCCATCTTTTCTGCCTCTTCAGTCAACTTTCTCTCAGCTCCAGAGGAAGTACTCCCTATTCTCCCTTTCTAATCTTTTCTAGCTCTCCCCCAGCCCCGGGCCAAGATTAACAAGACATCTGGTTATTCTAGGTAGAAACCACCACATTGCTATACAGATACCCAACCTCTCTCCAGAATGAATTACTCTGGATTTGAAACTGCAGATCAGCCTAGCTAAAGTGAAAGGTGGGGGGGGGGACGGGGAGGGAGAGAAAACACTGCAGAGGGCTCCTGAAAGGAGATGCATTTGACCTTGGCAATGCCAAGGGGACGGCTGGGGGCTCAGCAGGAATATTTGCCTAGTAGGTCCCTGGGCAGATGTTACTTCTCAGTGTCAGCCTCTGAAGCTGGCAGCACTTTTTGAGGTTCTGTGTTGCATAGCCATGAGGGTTCTTCAGGGAGCTGTCCTCTGCCGTGATGGCTCCAGCTCCTTCCCAGGCAGCCCACTTTCTGGACCTTCTTTGAAAGATTAGAGGTAGGGAAACAGCTGACAAGGCCAAGTTCCTATCCCACCAAGATGTCCCAGCCTTAGAGTTTCAGTAGAAAAGCTATCAGTGTCTTCTAGAGTCACTTTCATTGTCTTCCGGAGTACCCCCCTTCCTCCCCTTCCCTTCTTCATACTGGAAGCCATTCCATAGACATTTGTGGCATCTGCAGGGAATTACCCAGCCAGAATGCCCACCCTCTGTGCCCTCCCTCCATATCCCAGAGGAAGCCCCTGCTGCCTGCATCCCTCCTCACACCTGGTCATGTACCCCAGGTGCTCAGGGCAGATGTGGCCCAGCTGGGAGAGGAGCAGTGCAACAGAAAGGTGCCCCGAAAAGAGAAACCCTGTGCACCAGCTTCCCTCCTGCCTTCTCCCCCTGCCGCACACATGCACACAGTTTGGCGTCCCAGCTCCCCAGTGCACAGAGCACCAGCTTGCAGTCCCGGCCTCCTGATAAGGCCTGTCAGGAGGAGAAGAACGGACACACCCTTCTTCATCCTCTCTGGTTCATTGAACAATGGCTGTGGGAGAGGCTACACAGAGCTGCCCTTTTCCAACAAAGAGAGCAAAATTGTGTAGCCCACTCAAAATGGGAATCCAAATGACATTTCAAGCTAGAGATGCACTTCTTTCTGTGTTCTGTTTGTAGCCTTCATGCTAGAAATGAGATGAGGCCGAGTGGTGAGGTTGATTAAGGACAATTCAGAGAATGCCCAAGGACAGCAGGTGCACTGCAGGCTGCATCCTGTGCTCCGAAGCAATTGTTGCTGCCTCTTTGAACCTTCAACGCCTTCCAGACCCACTGTGCCCAGGCTCCAAGGTCAAGTTTTGTGATCAGCAGAAGTTCCATCAGAGCCCCAGGATGGTGGTCCTCAGACCCTGCTGCTCCCTGCCCACCCCCCTTGACTCCCCAGGAACTCTCCAGAGAGGGTGGTTGGGCTCCTTCCTGACTTTGGTGGCAAAAATGATGCTTGGCC